AAGCATAATTATGATTTATTTTACATTATGGAGCAATAGAAAACTCATTTTCCAGTGTTCAAACAATATTGCACCATTCATACAAATGTAGGGCAGTTCTAAACATGGACAATTGTTGCTCATTATTGCAACCTGACTGCTGCAATGTTCTCTACATGGGGGTAAAGTTAGAAAGAATGTGTAAGTTGCATCAGGAAAGGCTACATTTACTATATATCCTGATAAACTTACAAAAGATTTCCAGTGATTAATAGCAAGAAACAATAATAAATTTAAAACAACTAGTGTTTCAAGGCAATCTTCAAAGATAGCCCCACATAGAATGCATTGCAGTGATCTAAACAAGTCGGGGTGAGGTATGAATTACAACTGAAAGATCCTTGTGGTCGAGGTAGGACCACAGCTGATACACTAGTGAAAGCTGGGCAAAGGTTTGATTATGCCCTCCACCTGATCGTGGTCCTGCCTATCTGGAATCAGAGGAGAGGACTGATGATGGGCAGCTAATGCCAGAGCCAATTTCAAAAGTACTGAGAGATGATGAGCAACATCAGCACTGCCTGAGCAGGCAAAGGAGGTAGGGAAAAACTGCAAGCAGCAGCCACAGCTGCCATTGCCCTCTGAAGATGAGGGCATGATTACTACCTCCTCCCTCCCAATGCAAGAGCTCAATAGCCTCAACAGCCAAGAGAATAGAACAAAGGCGCTCTGTGAGGCTGCTTGCACGGAAGGAGACTTGCTCTGCTAAATGAACTATATCAGGGCCATTTCTATTAAAATGGAGCAGCAAGCACAAGCTCCCTGTGGACAATGAACCACCTGTTAATTCCCACTCCATGTGCCTTCACTTGTAAACCTTGCAACTCTGATTTTGAATCTTGGATTGGCTGATGAATCTACTACAAGCGTGACCCTTGGACTTCACCTAACGTTCCTCCTAGGCCACTCTGATTTGGAACACTTGTAAGCCAAACTTGCTGAAGTTTTGGGAGAACTTACTCTATATTGTAAGTGTGTGTGATTGCAAGCCTCCTTTAGTAAAAAGAACAAAACCACATCTTTGTGTATTTGTGTGTCCTTGGACTGGACCAGAATACCTGCCTATTTAGAAATAGCTGGCAGTCTAGGATTCTCAGTCCTTCGTGTAGACCTGACTGAAAAACCAAAACTATGAATGCTAATACTACTTTTATTATAGGGTGACAGGCACAGAATCTTGCAAATCTGAATGTGCCTCTCTTAGGGAGGCTCAAGTCTGAGACGTTTTCTCATATTACATTTCTGTTTTGGACTCAGGTTTTTTAAAATCTGACCATTATCTTGATTGTGATTCTTTCTCCTGTTCTTTACAGTTATTCATACAGCTCAGTCACACACAGCAATTAAAACCCTTCATGTACCAGGCCTAACCCACATTTAATTGTTTCACAATTGTCTCCTCTTGTTTTGTTCCTCATTCCCCAGTTGGTAGAGACTCTTCAAGCAACTGT